ATAAGGATATAATATTTTGGCTGAAAATTATAAAAAGAACATTTTGGCTGAGAAGTTCCACGGATGAACGAGAACTTACCAGCAGATTATGAATGTCAATTTTCTAAGGAGTACAGTTTAATCACCATATAGAATGATTATTGGCTTGAAACTTTGTGGTTTCTACAGAACGGAAGGTTAACATTAGTTTACTCTTTGTAAAGTACCTTTCAAAGATAATAATATGCAGATAAGAACTACTACAATATCCCTCAGGTGCACTTACAACAATATATAATATGACCAAATCGAATCTGCAAAAAATGACTGGGGGATGTGAAATAGAAAATGAGGGCAGAAATCCAGCTAAGCAAACACACTTGTACAATGTCGCTAAAACATGGACCCAATTGTTAACCCCGTAAACCTGAAGATCAAGTTAAAGAAAATAAAATAAAATTAGAAACTTCTCATCAAGTAAAACTTTGGGAAGTCGTTGAAACATAGATAACAATTATCAATCTGTAAACCTGAAGATTCCATGAAGAGCAATGACAGAAAAGCAAAAGGATTAGCCATACCAGCCTACGTAAACCACGTCCAAAATTTTGGGACATAAGCACTCACCAAGTACGAGTTCTGAAACTCCAAAGTAATAACCCTGTCCTCCTGAGGTCCTGATCATGTTCAGCTATGACAATTTCGTATTGACAGAGATTGATTTAACCTACAAGAGCACAAATCAAAATCATTTTAGGTCCTGGTCATGTTCAATCCAGAGAACAAATATGTTTGTCAAGCCTCGCCACTACTAGGAAAAGCCTTACTAGTAGCGTAGGTTTTTTGCATACTAGTAGCGCGTGCACCCGCGCTACTGTTACGACGCTACAGCTAACTTTTAGCAGTAGCGTGTTTTTACCCCGCGCTATAGCTAAAAAAGTTACTAGTAGCGTGTTCCACCCGCGCTACTGCTATTACATACACGTGCTACCAGTAATGAAACTGGGCGCTACTAGTAACTTATTAGGAATTAAAAAAAATTAAAATGAACCTATTCTATTTTATCACACAATTGTCGTATCTACCATCACACAATTTCTCATTGTAGCTAGCGGTAACTCATGTATAATTCCTATCACATAGTGTTGTGTGGCTAGTCAATGTGCGAAGCCTGCCCGGCCTGATCACGTGGCATGCAGCTGCGACGAAACACACCGGGCAGCCTCGCGAGCCACACCTGACCGACGGCAGCCGCCGCCTTGAGTTGCGACGTCGTTACGTCCCTCGCCCTGACCCTCAGCTCTAGCAGGCCTCGATCGATGTCGTCCTTGTGCCTCGCCATCAGCGGACGAAGGAATCCATCGGCAGCCACGACACCATCCAGTCCATGAACCTCTCGACGACCGTCAGCGTCGCCACCACAAGCCTGCAACATTACCAACAGAGATTTGGAAACTTCAGATTCTTCAGAAAAATGACATGGAAAAATAATGCAGTACATGTCGATGCCAATGTGCTACAATTTTTTTCCGAGATTCTTATTTAAGCCATAATGCACAACTGAACTACACACTGAAGCAGCGCATAGCTACTTCCATGACAAAAGATAACACAAAAGATTAGAAGCAATTCTGTTGTGTTGGCAGCCCTAAAAAGAAACAGCACTTACGAAGCACATAAGGAGTTAGAGGCATAATTCTTTCGGTAATTTTCTATCTATCCATTTTCCTAAGTAGTCACTTCAATACCTTGATATCTTTCATGTTTTCAAAGATAACAAAGTCCATGAATCTACTGTTGGTAGAGCATAGTGACTATACAAACTGAAGCCTGAACATATATACCTGCCAGTTCACAGACTTGACAAATGAATTCTGAAGTTAATGGGCTTTTCCTCTTTCCTGAAGAAATCATTTGGTCTGCTCTTTGTTGGTACTACCTACAAGAATTCGTAATACAAATTCTGAATACAACCTTTGATAGTAAGAGAACTAGCTAAAGTAGAAACCAAAGGACGACATACCTTCCCTCAAACAGGTTATGTTAGATGATCCGCTTGTGTGGTTCTTGTTCAGAGCAGTGAGCAGTTGTCTTTTTGTTGTTGAAACCAGAAAAAGTATTGAACCTGCAGCAAGGTTGCACGAAATGGTTTAAAACATTCAAATGAAGCCTCACTTCACTTGCAGTTCAAAGAAATATGAATCTAAGCTGGCCAGGAAAAGCACATAGATCCTTGTTCCAATTATTCAACATAAGCTGCCGGCAGCGGACGCCTCTTATATACAGTCAAACTAATGCAGGCATAAGAAGAACACCAAGCTGACAGTGGTGACCAAACTAGTCATCAGCCGGCAAGGGCATCATCATGACCCCATCTACTACTTCAGCGAATGGAAACTTACCCAAATGGACTCCAGGAACAAAAAGGTGAATTTAGAACAATGTTGATGTATAATCAAGAAGAATTAATATGGTCGCTTATGTAGTCACTTTACACAAACTGGACGCCAGCAGAACTGTGCAAAACCCGGACGACAGGAAGACTGAAGATTGAATTTAATAGCGCACATATATGCATCACATAGAGGATTTCTAGCCGTGATTTTCAGCTACTAGCATGTTAAGTTCTTTTTTCTCTTCTTGCAGGAATGCTTATTGTTGGAACTTCACCCTCAGGATCGATCACATAAAATTGCACGAACACACACGCACAAAAAACTGATAGCCAAGGGCCCGTATCGTGCCCTTTGTTTTCCTCTTTATTTCTATTTTCTGGTTTTCCCAACTCACGGTTCTTCAGCCTCCCGATCACCTCCATCACCGACATCTTCGTCACATCGCCCCACTGCTCTATGGTGCCAACGATCGGTAAAAACTTATCGGGAACGGCTCGAAGTAACTTCTCCACAACTGCGATGTCCTCCATCTTTGATCCGAGAGCCCGAATCTCATTAACCAGGGAGGTTAGCTTCAACGCAAATTCACCAACCCCTTCTGATTCTTTCATGCTCATCCTCTCGAACTCCCTCCTTAGAGCTTGAACACGAGCCTTCTTGACACAATCATCTCCAGCATGCATCTCCTTGAGAGCTTCCCAAGCTTCCTTTGTTGTCTCTTTCTCTGATATGATCATGAAAACGGCATCAGGCACAGCTTGGGCTATGGTGGCGAAAGCTTCTTGGTCCTTTATCTCCTCGACCGCACCATCACCTTGCACCGCTGCCCAGACTCCACGTGCACGCATGAAGATCTTCATCTTTGCAGCCCACACCCCATAATTGCCGCCTTCAAGCATGGGGAACTAGATGGTCACACCACCACCACTCGCCTTCGAAGTCGACATGATCCTCTTCGATTTTCCGTCGTCCGTGACACAACTTGACGGCGACGAAGAATCCTTCAACTCCGCCATGACGCAACTTGATGACGACCTTGCTCTAGATACCAATTGTTGGAACTTCACCCTCAGGATCGATCACATAAAATTGCACGAACACACGCGCACAAAAAACTGATCGCCAAGGGCCCGTATCATGCCCTTTGTTTTCCTCTTTATTTCTATTTTCTGGTTTTCCCAACTCACGGTTCTTCAGCCTCCCGATCACCTCCATCACCGACATCTTCGTCACATCGCCCCACTGCTCTATGGTGCCAACGATCGGTAAAAACTTATCGGGAACGGCTCGAAGTAATTTCTCCACAACTGCGATGTCCTCCATCTTTGATCCGAGAGCCCGCATCTCATTAACCAGGGAGGTTAGCTTCAACGCAAATTCACCAACCCCTTCTGATTCTTTCATGCTCATCCTCTCGAACTCCCTCCTTAGAGCGTGAACACGAGCCATCATCTCCAGCATGCATCTCCTTGAGAGCTTCCCAAGCTTCCTTTGCCGTCTCTTTCTCCAATATGGTCATGAAAACGGCATCAGGCACAGCTTGGGCTACGGCGGCGAAAGCTTCTTGGTCCTTTATCTCCTCGACCGCACCATCACCTTCCACCGCTGCCCAGACTCCACGTGCATGCATGAAGATCTTCATCTTTGCAGCCCACACCCCATGATTGCCGCCTTCAAGCATGGGGAACTGGATGGTCACACCACCACCACTCGCCTTTGAAGTCGACATGATCCTCTTCGATTTTCCGTCGTCCGTGACACAACTTGACGGCGACGAAGAATCCTTTAACTCCGCCGTGACGCAACTTGATGGCGAAGCCTTCACACCTTGCTCTAGATACCAATTGTTGGAACTTCACCCTCAGGATCGATCACATAAAATTGCACGAACACACGCGCACAAAAAACTGATCGCCAAGGGCCCATATCGTGCCCTTTGTTTTCCTCTTTATTTCTATTTTCTGGTTTTCCCAACTCACGGTTCTTCAGCCTCCCGATCACCTCCATCACCGACATCTTCGTCACATCGCCCCACTGCTCTATGGTGACAACGATCGGTAAAAACTTATCGGGAACAGCTCGAAGTAACTTCTCCACAACTGCGATGTCCTCCATCTTTGATCCGAGAGCCCGCATCTCATTAACCAGGGAGGTTAGCTTCAACGCAAATTCACCAACCCCTTCTGATTCTTTCATGCTCATCCTCTCGAACTCCCTCCTTAGAGCGTGAACACGAGCCATCATCTCCAGCATGCATCTCCTTGAGAGCTTCCCAAGCTTCCTTTGCCGTCTCTTTCTCCAATATGGTCATGAAAACGGCATCAGGCACAGCTTGGGCTACGGCGGCGAAAGCTTCTTGGTCCTTTATCTCCTCGACCGCACCATCACCTTCCACCGCTGCCCAGACTCCACGTGCATGCATGAAGATCTTCATCTTTGCAGCCCACACCCCATGATTGCCGCCTTCAAGCATGGGGAACTGGATGGTCACACCACCACCACTCGCCTTTGAAGTCGACATGATCCTCTTCGATTTTCCGTCGTCCGTGACACAACTTGACGGCGACGAAGAATCCTTTAACTCCGCCGTGACGCAACTTGATGGGGAAGCCTTCACACCTTGCTCTAGATACCAATTGTTGGAACTTCACCCTCAGGATCGATCACATAAAATTGCACGAACACACGCGCACAAAAAACTGATCGCCAAGGGCCCATATCGTGCCCTTTGTTTTCCTCTTTATTTCTATTTTCTGGTTTTCCCAACTCACGGTTCTTCAGCCTCCCGATCACCTCCATCACCGACATCTTCGTCACATCGCCCCACTGCTCTATGGTGACAACGATCGGTAAAAACTTATCGGGAACAGCTCGAAGTAACTTCTCCACAACTGCGATGTCCTCCATCTTTGATCCGAGAGCCCGCATCTCATTAACCAGGGAGGTTAGCTTCAACGCAAATTCACCAACCCCTTCTGATTTTTTCATGCTCATCCTTGCCTCCGGGACTATCTTCTACGTACTAGATAACTTCCAGTCAAATTGTTTTAAGACACTGCTGGAACTTTGAACTTCCACCAGTTCCTTATATTTCCATGCCGTACCTGCAAAAGCAGCAGCCAAAATCATCCAACGCGGCAGCAATCTAGCATCGAAACTTCAAGATGAGCGAGAGGACAGGGCGTCCCATGGCGGGACGGGACTGTCTCGCGGTGCTGAATGGGGACAGGGTCGTCCAATTTCGACCCTGCTGGACTAGCTAGCACCCGTGGAATGGGGCATGAGCCGGGAGAGAGCGGCGGCGAGCTTACCCGAAGGCGACGCGGTGGGCGACCTCGAGGCACTGCCAGTGCTCGTTGGGGTTGAAGTACGTGCACACCAGCAGCGCGTTCGCCGCACGGAATGCCAGCACGTGCGCTAGCACCCGACGCTCCGGCCACGGCCGGATCCGCGGCGCCTTCATCAAAGGCTGCGGCGGTGCGTCTCCTCCTCCCTCCTCTTCCGGCCCTCCTCGCCTCACTCCAGTCCCTCCATCTCTCCACGCCGGTATCCACGACGACTCCCTCGACACCCCGGCCTCCGACGCCGTCCAGGGCGCCATACATAACCGTATCGCTGGGATGCCGGAGCGGGCCGCCGAGAACCTCCACACGGCGCGCTTTGCCGTGCCGGCGCCCGTGGCCAACGTGCTCAAGGGGGAGCCCTGCTTGATCG